AGGGTATCTTATGGTCGGCCCCGTCCGACTATATTGCTCCGCTCACTGGTTTAATTTATTTCCTACAATCAAAAGTTTTTTTCTGCCTCTAATTAAAAACTTTGAAATGCAATTAAAAATTATATTTCATCCTCTAATTATTTACAGCAGGAATTTTTCCGCTCATTTGCTATCACAGCCGAGCAGCTTTTCTGTGTTGTATGCATGCAACAAGCTATTTGCAAAATTATAAATTTACAAATAACCAACCCTTTCCAACCAGCCTCACCCCCTCCGAACAGCATTCACCCTGTGAAAACTTCTGCTGAATCAGTTTACTTAATGGCAAAATTAAGTTGATATTTTTCACTTTAGTAATTATGAGCAATGGGGAGCGGTGGGTAAGGAGGGTGTATGATGGCGGTGAGTAAGGGGGCAGAGTGTAGAGAAGGGGGAAATTGGAGCCAATGAAACCTAATTAAGTGTATGGCCAAAAGGCTTCTTGTTTTGCACACAAATTTTCCACTGCAATGCATTTCTTGTGATTTTTGCTGCACAAAGTTGTTGCCTACTTTAAGGCTGACCTTTGTGCCAATGGAGCAGCAGCAGCAGCATCAGTAGTTGCAAAGAAACCCAATTATGACTTGACTCTGCATTAATGCATTAATTTTATATTACGAAAAAGGACTTTTAGCACACAAGTCAAAAGGATAACCTTGACAGGAATTTGAAATTAGCTATGAAAGAGAAAGTCATAAATATATAAAAAAAATTATGAAAAATAAATTTTCCTTGAGAAAAACAGAAAAACTTTTCCTTTACAAAAATAAAACAACATGCAAGTCGATCCTAAGAAAATTGCATCGAGAATGAATGCAAATTGCGAAACTTTAACGTTTGTAAATGTCACAACAAATTTTCAGGACACCCAAAGCCTGTTGCGCTACAATGTTAAGCATCTTCGATGTCACATTCATCCATGCTCCCAATTCTCCCTCTCTCTCTCTCTCTCTCTCTCACCCCACTGCTAAACTGTAAATTGCCATAAAATTTAATATTTCAATAAATGACAGTTTTGGGGTTGTTGTTGTTGTTGTTGTTATTTTTCTTGTTGTCATAAAACTATATACCAAGCACCTCAATAGCAGGATATTGTCGTCAAGAAATGCCATTCCGAGTTTTGCATCTGCCTTGCATAACAATTTTGTTTTTCTTTTGTTGTTATTGTTTACCTTGAAAGTGCACAGCAATATTCAGTTGCCACACAATACTCCTTAAGGTATGCAACGAAACAAACAAAAAAACGAGAGAAACTAATTCAAAAGCAATTTCACTTGAGGAGGATATGCAAAAACCATAAAATGTTTATATGTTAATGCCGATAAAGATGTTATGGCAGGGCATTACAAGTGACAGCTTGAGGCGGCAGGAGAGGGGTAGGGATTATCATAGTTTAGGGAAGAATTTAAAAAAGGAGAAAGCAATTACAGGAGGAAAATACTTAAAAAACCAGTAAGGAAAGTAGTAAAGTCGGATGGGGCCGACTATATGATACCCTTCACCACTATGGTAAATGAAACAGGACTATTAACATGAAATTGGATGAAATAAAATATGTGATAAGAAATATAAATAGGTCATCCGTTCGGCTATGTCTGTATTTCTAGCAAACGCAGTCTGACTAACATGAGGAGTTTGATGCCCAATTTACTTGAAATCGGGCGAAAATATATATGGAAGCTCTATCTGAATATTAAGCGATTTCAAAAAAACTTGTCACAGGTTAGGTTATACTAATTTCAGAACGTTTTGTTCCTATTGGTTCCTTAGTGTCTCAATCACTTAAAATCAAACTATAATAAAAGGGAGCTATATAGAAATCTGGACCGATTTTTTCGAAACTTGGCAGACATCATTCTAGGCTCAATTCAGTACGTTATGCCAAATTTCGTGCAAATCGAAGGATATATAGGGACTTTTGTGCACCATTTACATGAAATCGGACGAAACTATATATGGGAGCTATATCTAAATTTAGACCGATTTTCTCGAAACTTGGCAGACATCATTCTAGGCTCAATTCAGTACGTTATGCCAAATTTCGTGCAAATCGAAAGATATATAGCGACTTTGGTGCATCATTTACATGAAATCGGACGAAACTATATATGGGAGCTATATAGAAATCTGGACCGATTTTCTCGAAACTTGGCAGACATCTTTCTAGGCTCAATTCAGTACGTTATGCCAAATTTCGTGCAAATCGAAAGATATATAGCGACTTTGGTGCACCATTTACATGAAATCGGACGAAACTATATATGGGAGCTATATCTAAATCTGGACCGAGTTTCTCGAAACTTGGCAGACATCATTCTAGGCCCGATTCAGTACGTTATGCCAAATTTCGTGCAAATCGAAAGATATATAGGGACTTTGGGGCACCATTTACATGAAATCGGACGAAAGTATATATGGGAGATATATCTAAATCTGGACCGATTTTATCGAAACTTGGCAGACATCACCCTAGGCTTAATTCAGTACGTTATGCCAAATTTCGTGCAAATCGAACGATATATAGGGACTTTGGGGCACCATTTACATGAAATCGGACGAAACTTTATATGGGAGTTATATCTTAATCTGGACCGATTTTCACGAAACTTGGCAGACATTACTCTAGCCTTAATTCAGTACGTTATGCCAAATTTCGTGCCAATCGAAAGATATGTAGGGACTTTGGGGCACCATTTACATGAAATCGGAGAAATTATATATGGGAGCTATATCTAAATCTGGACCGATTTTCTGGAAACTTGGCAGACATCATCCTAGGCTTAATTCTGTACGTTGTGCCAAATTTCGTGCAAATCGAAATATATATAGGGACCGTTTACATTAAATCGGTTAAAAATATATATGGGAGCTATATGTAAATCTGATCCGATTTTTCCCAATTTCAATAAGGTTCGTCCTTGGGCCAAATAAGTGACCTATGCCAAATTTTATCCAATTCGGATCATAAATGCGACCTGTACTTTGTTTACAATTTTACATGGACAGACAGACGGACGGACGGACGGACGGACGGACATGCATAAGTCGTCTTAGAAAGTGATTCTATGCATATTCTCAAAAGGAGCCATGTGTCTATCTCGTTGCCTTTTGCCTGTTACAAACATATGCACAAAGATATAATACCCTGTACCACAGTGTGGTGAAGGGTATAAAAATATTTTTAAGACCCTATCATAGGCGTGAATTTTCTAAAAAAATATTTTAATATTTTTAACTGTCTACCACAAGGCGTGGATTTTTTAAATAATATTTTTAAATGTCTACCATAAGCCTTGGATTAAAAAAATCAAATCATATTTTTGGGAGTTTTTCAGTTTACTTCAAAATTTTTCGATTATGTATCCTTAACAAATATTTTTCCTTATTTTCTTTCCAGATTTTTCATTAAATCCACATATATAGAGAGATAACTTAAAGAAAACAAACCAACTTAATATCACCGTATACGTCACTGCCATAAATCTAAGGACAACAAACTGGTCATTAAAAACAAAAAAAAACGGATACAATATTTAAAAAAAAACACAGCAAACACAAATAGAAAATTAAATTTAGTCTACAAGAAAAGCGGAGAGTGGAGCTGCAGCTTTCATCAGCAATTCGAAGAAATTTTTTGCAAAACACTATATAGAAAATCAAGCACAAAAACAACAAAATAATTCACCAAACTGAAAAAGCTCTTTGGGTTGTTTAAAGAACTGAACACATTAAGCACAAAATAATACTCGCCATATATAGAAACAAAAGAGGACAATGGATTTTCTAAGAAAAGCCTAAATTCCACACAAATTTTTGAAAGAAAAAAAAACCAAAAGATTTAAGGGTTCTTTGCTGAGAAAAAAGCAAAAGAGATAGCGAAAAAGAGCTTTAAAAGCTTGTGAAGAGAAAAATTGAAGGTTTGAAAACGGAATGACCCCCTAAAAGCAACGTTTTTTTGATAAAGCTTTGAAAGCTTTTGAGTTATCAAAAAGGAAGATCTCAAAATTACCACCTACGTGCTTACATTCATAACATGCTGCTCTATAACAACGATTTCATAAATATCAAAAAGCTTTATATAAATCATAAAACCCGACGGAAATCGTATCGAAAAAGCTCTCTACACCGCAACTGGCATTTTCCTATATTGAAAAGCAGGCGGCAACAACATAAAAAGCTTGCCTCTAATGATCACTTACATCCTGCGCAAAACAAAAATTATGCCACACGACGACTGATGATGTTGACCACAGATGTCGAAAGCTTAAAGCTTTTTCGTTTTCGTTATCATGATAATTTAAGCAATACCAAAAGAAACGAACTCAAACATACAGCACAAAAAAGGTTGTCTTTAATTGAAAAGAACGATAAGACTTTCGCACAAAAGCTCCACGAAAGCTTTGGTGGCACAAATCGCTTCACCATCACCATTAATAATAATTGTAATAGTCCAACAAATTGTTATGGCGATTTAAATAGCAGGCATAGCTTTTGTAAAGCTTTCAGTGGTGGAAAGCTTTCAGTAGCTTCAAGAAAATTTTTAAGAAATGATTTGAAACAAAGACTGGCTTTATGCAGACGTTATTTGCGGCGTAAAAGAAAAAGAAAATTTCCAAAGCTTCCAAGGTCTCCCAGAAAGCTTTATCACATAAGACATCAAGAAAATGAAGAGCAACAACAATTCAAAGAACCATTATTGAGTCAGCCTCCAGAGCTTTTGCAAATATCATTAGAAAATAATGCCACAACATTTGTAGATTTTCCACAGGTGGCAACACTGGCCCCACACCAGCAGCAGCAACAACAACAAATGACACATCATACAACATTGCATAATCAATCCGATCTACAACTAAGTCGAAATTTATCTCCTACCTACGAAAGCTTTGTTGAACCACCCCAAAGTGGGATGAGCAGTAGTTTGGAAAAAGTGAACGGCAACACCCCCTCGAAGGACCACAGCCATCTACCAGCTATGATGTGGCAAGTGCTCATTTTATGTGTAGTACATTTAAGTTTGACCACAATTGCAACACTGTATGGTCATGTGAAAACCGCATTGTCACAAACCGCACAGCAGATTGCGAGGGCTGTTATTGCTGCCACAACACTGCCAATTATACAAAGAAGACAAAAACAACAGCAACAACAAAAACATGAAACATTATCAGCATCAGAATCAGTAACACCATGGCCCCGACCACCACTACCTGCAGGGTTATCACAAACAGAACAGTCAGCAGCAACATCAGTAAATGGCGAAGCAGTAGCATCAGACGGAGGTTCCACCACAACCTCATCATCCATAGTAACGCAAAATAATGCAATTCATGAAAAAATATTCCATGGGAAATTTCCCAGGCCACGAAAAAATCTGTGGGAACAACAACACCACCAGCACTATCAACAACAACAGCAGCAGCTGTCATTACCCTTGCTAACCGAACACCCACAGCATTATCAGGTGGATACGAACAACAATTTTATCACATGCACCACCAGCAACATTTGCAATGCGGGCAGTAACAGCAGCTCCAGCATCAACACCACCACCACAGTCGCTGCCACCAACACGACCACCACCACCACCACCAGCATTTTAACATTGTGGCAACATTGTCATCGTCGCTATCGTCCTCTTCAACTACTACCGTTACTGACAACAAAAGGACTTAATAAATACTCATGGATATTTTTATTAATATATTTGAATTTATCTGCTAAAGGTAAGTGCGAACAAAAAGAAATACCAAAATTTTCAATGTGTCAAATATAATACGAGGGAAGGGAGGAGGGGATTTCTGGGATTGACAGATTACTATGGGATTTAAAAAGGGGAAAAGATCTATTTTGCATGTAGGATGGGTTCGGGACAATGAAGAAGGGGATTAAATGGACCAAATACATAATTTTTGTCGGTTTTTCGGTCCATCCAGAGGCCGCAATTATGGGTCGAACATCACGAAATCTTACGTGGAGGACGGGATCGGGCTACAGAATATGCATGCCTGTTTTGATAAAGATTGGTCAATATTAAGTGTGTCAAATGTAACGTATATATTTGTCCCTGATGGACATAGACCCGAAAAGTGGATAGTATATCCAAGAAGAGTAATTGACCTTAAAATTAATACCAAGCCATTACCACACTAGAGGGCGGAAATTTTCCGCTTTGAAATTTTCCATGAGATTCCAGTTGTGGTCAAGGACAACGCCTATAATTTTCAGTCATGATCAGATAATAATTTTGGGCTGAAGTGGATCGAAAACTTTTTTTTTTGTTACACTCTTCACCAAACTGTGGTACAGGGTATTATGTCTTTGTGCATATGTTTGTAACAGGCAAAAGGAAACGAGATAGGCACATGGTTCCTTTTGAGAATATGCATAGAATCACTTTTTAAGTCGATTTATGCATGTCCGTCCGTCCGTCTGTCTGTCCATGTTAAATTGTAAACAAAGTACAGGTCGCATTTATTATCCGATTTGGATGAAATTTGGCACAGTTCACTTATTTGGCCCAAGGACGAACCCTATTGAAAATGGGAAAAATCGGTTCAGATTTAGATAGAGCTCCCATATATATATTTGTCCGATTTAAGGTAAATGGGGCACCAAAGTTCCTATGTATGTTTCGATTTGCACGAAATTTGGCATAGAGTACTGAATTAGGTACAGAATGATGTGTGCTAAGTATCATGAAAATTGGTTCATATTTAGATATAGCTCCCATATATAGTTTCGTCCGATTTAAGGTAAATGGTGCACCAAAGTCCCTATATATATTTAGATTTGCACGAAATTTGGCATAGAGTACTGAATTAGGTCCAGAATGATGTGCGCTAAGTTTCGTGAAAATCAGTCCATATTTAGATATAGCTCCAATATATATTCTCTTCCGATTTAATGTAAATGGTGTACCAATGTCCCTATATATCTTTCGATTTGCACGAAATTGGGCACAGCGTACTGAATTAAGTCTAGAAAGATGTGTGTTAAGTTTCCTGAAAATCGGTTCAGATTTGGATATAGCTACCATATACATTTTCGTCCGATTTAATGTAAATGGTCCACCAAATACACTATATATCTTTCGATTTGCACGAAATTTGGCACAGCGTAATTAATTAGGTCTAGAATGATGTGTGCTAAATTTCGTGAAAATCGGTTCAGATTTGGATATAGCTACCATATAAATTTTCGTCCGATTTTAGATAAATGGTGCACCAAAGCCCCTATATATCCTTCGATTTGCACGAAATTTGGCGTAGCTTCCAGAATTGAGACTAAAATGATGTGTGTAAAATTTTTTGGAAATCGGTTCAGATTTAGATATAGCTCCCATATATATTTTCGACCGATTTAATGTAAATGGGGTAGCAAAGTCCCTATATATCTTTTGATCTGCACGAAATTTAGCACAGCGTACTGAATTGAGGCTAGAATTATGTGTGTTAAATTTCCTGAAACTAGGTTCACATTTAGATATAGCTCCCATATATATTTTCGTCCGATTTAATGTAAATGGTGCACCAAAGTCCCTAATTATCTTTCGATTTGCACGAAATTTGGCACAGCGTACTAAATTAAGCCAATAATGTTGTGTGTTAAGGTTCGTGAAAACCGTTTCAGATTTAGATATAGCTTCCATATACAGTTTCGTCCGATTTAATGTAGATGGGGCAGTAAAGTCCCTATATATCTTCCGATTTGCACGATATTTGGCATAGCGTACTGAATTGAGTAAAAAATGATGAGTGGTAGGTTTCAGGAAAGCCGGTGCAGATTTCGGTATAGCTCCAATATATATTCTCGTCCGATTTTATGTAAATGGTGCACCAAAGCCCCTATATTACTTTCGATTTGCACGAAATTTGGTATAGCGTACAGAATTAAGTCGAGAATGTGTGTTAAGTTTCGTGAAAATCGGTCCTGATTTAGATATAGCTCCCATATATATTTTCGTCCGATTTTATATAAAGGGTGCACCATGTCCCTATATATCCTTCGATTTGCACGCATTTTGGTATAACGTACTGAATTGAGTTTAGAATGCTGTGTGGTTCGCTTCGGGATAATCGATTCCGATTTCGATTGAGACTTTAATGTCATTTAATGCGTTTTGTTGAAATTGTTGCAGATGCAACCATAGCTTTCATATGTACTTCGAACGAGTGTCTGATTGAGATTAACTTTTTAACAGTGCGGCGTACCGAATAGCATGTATCAATTTTGCTATAAATCGTTTTCCATAAATTTGTACCATGGTACGCAGACTACTCTTAATCTGCCCGAATGAAATTAAATTCAGCATAGGTTGTAGAAAGGCATGAGTATGTTCCTTCGAGCGAACATTGACATGCAATTGTAAGGATATATATGTACAATATACCCAAAGTGGTGAAGGGTCGACTTTACTACTTTAATTACTGGTTTTCACTTACATTCGTAACAAGGTCTTCTTCTCAGTGTCCCAATTTCTGCCAGCCATCGATATCAGGACTTCGGTCCAACTTCTCAGTCCATCCCAAATAACAGTGGCTTGCCTTGACGACTTACAGGGCTGGGGAATGTTATATCAAATTTATTGATGTAGTTAGAGGTCGGAATATTTTTCCCATTTATCTACTTCCTAAGTACTCAACCATAGCTTTTTCAGTCTTGCCTTATGTTTGTCCGCAAAAAACAAAGCCTCCGAACCATAGTATGATAAGTCGCCTTAGCTTTACGTTTTTAAATACTACGGCCCTTAATTTAAATTCTGTGAAATTTTGGTAATCATCGGTTAATCCAAACCGAAGTTATAAGCAAAAATTTACTTAGCATGGCACGTAAAATTTAAGAAAATTCCATTCTTTGCGAGCTTCTGCTGAAAAATTCACTTTTCAGACTTAGCATACTATTCTTCGGAGGCGTCGAAATATTCTACTAAAATTCCACCCCTTGTAAAGGCCTCCAAAAATATTCTTTAAAAAGCCCACACCTTGCAAAGACCTCCAAAAAATTTTTCTTAAAAAGTCCAGGCCCCGTAAATGCCTCCAAAAATAGTCTTTAAAAATCCAAAATAACAGCTCCTAAAAAAGTTCATAAAAAATGCATGCCTTATTACAGCCCCCATTCGTTAAAAGTTCCAAGCCTTGTAAAGGCCCCAAAAAATATTATTTTTAAAATCCACGCTTTATAAAGGCCTCCAAAAAATATTCTTTAAAAAATCCACGCCTTATAAGGTCTCCAAAAAATATTCTACACTTTGTAAAGGACTCTTCTTCTACATGCCTTCTAGATTCTCCAAAAAAAATATTCTTGAAAAAAATAGTTTCTCTTCTTATCACAAATTCACTTGCCCTGCTATCCTCTTATTAATTTAGCCCAGAACAAGAGCTTGCATCCGCCTTTAATGCATTTTAAAACTACGCCACATTTATTATTATTCGGAATATGCCAGTCATCATATCAGAAATCATATCCGTTTCCGCATTAAGACCTATCACATTTCGCCATTTGTTGCAGTTTAATTTCATAGTTCATTTTTATGTTCAATGTTACGATGGTGTTGCTGTTGTTGTTGTTGTTGTTGTAGCAGCTAGTACTGCTGTGTATTTCCAATTTGTCTTAATCTGGTTCTGCCTCTAACTCCAAATTCAGAAAGGCTGCGACCTGTACAGGTTGAGTCCAGAG